TAGAGCGCTGCACTAGTATCGCAGAGGTCAGTGGTTCGAGTCCCGTACAGGCCTGATTTTTTTCAGGTCTGATTTTCGCTATTGCTTAAATAGCGCTATCTACTGCGAGGATTGTGCATCATACGTATCAAATACCGCAGTTCAAAAAATATATGATTTTCATATATTTATTCTATCTCAAATATATATACTGTAAATATATGAGTTAAGGGTGGATATAAAATATGATCACACCTTTATCTTCCAAGATTCAATGTTCTTTAGCACCCAACTATCATTGACACAAAAGTGCTTTCTTCTGGTGCCGTGCGGTAACTATATATGGTTATGACAAAAACCTTTGGTTTTAAGCCGAAAATGATTTGTAACATATTAAAAGAACTTCTCTCTTCTTGTTTGGACTCTTTGCACACAAAGTTAAATTTAGTAATGTGTCTTGAACCATAGTATAATATTATAGTTTCCTTGAAGCTTTTGCTAGACAAAGGTTTTCGAAATTAAATGAAATACATAAAGTATTTTGGTTTGTAAATATATGAAACAAGACCTTTTTAAAGGCCTTCAAATGGGCCGTGACAACTGGTCAGCGGATCGCGTTGCAATTTGAACAAAATAGACCAAACTCTTTTAACCCTTGGCCTGCCGCTTATGGCGGGCCAAGATAGTAAATTGGAGGAATTAAAATAAAGGAATAAAGCTTTAAGATGATGTATATTATGATTTTTAAGTATACATGATTGACCTGTTCATAGACCGCTGAAGTTGAGCTTTATTTTGCCTCCGCGAAAGTGACGCGCAGTACTTTATTTTAACTAGTCACTATTCAGACTTAAACGCAACAATATAACAAGAAAGTTATATTGTTATATAACAACAAAAGAACATTTCTGCAATGAAATAATTGCAGATTCATTGCATATATATTGTTAACAATATAACAAAAAAGTTAAATTGCTAACCCAGTTAGCCCAATGGATAGTGGGCTGGACTGTTGTGCGGGAGGTCGAGGGTTCCAGTCCCAGCCGGACCAACACTCAAGGTCTTAAAATAATCAAGAAGAATTTGCTACCTTTCTATAGCATCAAGAGATGGTTAAATATTCTATATATCTTCTCGGATAGGGACGAATAAATGGAGGTCCCGTCTCCTGCAGGGTTGGGGGTAGGAGAAGTTAATTCCCCACACACAAGGTTACTGTGTAATGGATGTCCTCCCCTGGGTGGGATGGGTGGGTTTACGTGGCCCGCAGTAATTGGCGCAAGCTTTTGCGGTGTCCCTGCCTGCCGGCGAATCTAGTAAATTAGAAATTAGTATTTTCTAAGAGATAATAGGACCATCTGCTAGTACAAAAAATTTGAAAAAGGGAGTACATCGCGTTGTGACCTACGAAATTGCCGAAGTTGCATAATTTTTCATTGCTTTAAAGGGGGGAGACAGCGGCCATAGAGGCGTATTTTGAACTTTTCGACTTTTCGGAGAAAAAAAACCGCGGTAGAACTTTTTGATCAAATTTTCTAAAAGGTTCATTAAAAGGGTACTTTAGAAAAAATAAAATGAATTACGACATTTTGCAACTGTCGCCGGATTCTAGATATTTACGGTCAGTGGCTCTTAACTCTTTTGTTACCTACTCTTTAAAATTTCGTTTTCAGATAAAACCTAACCATTTTCGAGTGGAGGAAAATTTGTATGAAAACTTTAAACAATTATCAATAATTAACAAATGGTAAACACCACAGCGTACACTGTGTAAGAAGCGTAAGAGTTGCTCGAGGCGATAGCCGAGAGCGACTCTAGCTTCTTGAGTGCTTAGCAAACCTCCCAGATAAGAGGTTCAAATATGGCGTTCGGACGCGGCTTCAAGCTCTCCGCAAATTTATGTGTGTTTCTCTGTATTTACATCACTTTGGAGTTCTTCAGGTTCTCAGATGTATATGAGAACACTTTGCTTAACGATAGAGAGACGTTTTTTGTTTCCCAGACGTATTGTAGGGCTGAAGTTGCTGGTGCTTCATTTCATCGAAACGAACCGACCCGGAGGCAAGAGTCTAATGGACGACTGAAGAGTGTTATGCTTTGTAAGCTTTTTCATCGTGCCTGTTTTGCTTTGACTCTTATTGCTCTTGCTGGTGACATTGAGATTAATCCCGGCTACCAGACATTTGCTGATATCAAGTCCACTAGAGGTCTCAAGATTGCTCACTTGAATATACGAAGTCTCGCAAACAAAACCGACTCTCTGCGTCTTGAGGGAATTAACAACAAAACTTTTGACGTGCTAACTCTGTCCGAGACTTGGCTGGATTCCTCAACAAGTGATGCTGAAATAAAACTCCCTGGATTTGTGTGCATAAGGTTAGATCGCACTGGCAATAAAGAGGGATATGGCGGAGTTGCTATGTATGTAAGAGAAGATTTGGCGTTTCGTTTGCGGAATGATATCAATACTGGTGGACAGGAATGTTTATGGATTGAGTTAATTCGAGATAAATGTAAGCCAACGTTATTATGCTGCGCTTATAGAGCACCAGATGCCGATCTCTGC